AGAGAGAATACACGTTGATGACGATGAGGAGAACACGGGAATTTACACCAACACACAGCCACAAACTGAGGAAATACCTCAAGAAGCTAACCAAGGTGATGAAGAAAGACAAGAGGAAGAAGAAGAACAAGCGGAACACGAAGAAGAAGAAGAAGCAACCGAGCTTCCCATAGCATGGAGAACAAACAAAAACCATCCGTTTGACCAGGTAATCGGTAGCATCAACCGCGGGGTAAGTACTCGTAACTCTCTTAGGGACACCGTAGGTCACATGGCTTTTGTTTCTCAAATTGAACCTTGACAGTTGTAGTTTTTCGGGTAGTAAACCTTCCCAGTGAAGGGTTAGTTTTCTCTCCGAGTGTCGTATCTCTCGAGGAGTGGACGAAGGGAATTAGTTTAATTACTCTAACTAGGCGAAGATTAGGATTGGTTTATGAAAGTCTTCTCGGAACGAATAAAAAGGGAGCAGAGTAAAAATAATAAATTTAGTTTACATAGTATAAGTATAGATCTGGACCTAGGGTCTGGACATCATTTGGATCTATTTTATCATATTAAATTAACAATTGGAATAATAATATTTCTATTACTACTCATCCATTTATAGATTTGTACTTAATCCGTTGTTCTTGAATATCGTAGCCTTTTGGCATACAATATTTTCTCAATAAATAGCTAATTAAATCTTTCGACATTAATTAACTAAATAAGGCAAGAGCAATTGACTAACCATTCCAACATTAATTTAACATCAAAAATAAACAACCAAACTAGTCCGGACCCAGATATCCGGACCCTAACTCATACTATGCAAACATGAATTAAAACAGTATTTTATTAAATAAAGAAAACTTGCAACCTCCGTAAAAGCGGAACAGGACAGATCTGGAGTCAAAACCTCCAGAAAATACTTTAAAACTACTACTAAAACTAATATACAAAGTATTTTATAGGAACCCGAAATTGGGTTGAGAATGGATGATAAAAATGAGAAGAATCGTGCTGTATTTATAGGAACGAAGCCAAGGCGTCCAAGTCCAAGCGTCCAGATCTGGCGCCTGAGCTGTCCCGGCGAACCAGATTTTGCCACGTGTCATTCTTGGGCTGCAATTAAGCCAAAGCGTCCAACTCCCAAGCGTCCAACTTGGCCAAGCGTCGGCCAAGTTGGACGCCTTGAGGCCTTGGTCCGTTGGGCTTCGCGGCTGTTTCGTGATTTTGGCCAAATTTCGCTCCGTTTTGGTCCCGAACACTGTTTTTGACCTCCCGGAAGCTCGTTCAAGCCCGAATCTTGATCCCTTGATGATTTATTCCCTTTTCTCAAGTATTTGAACATAAAATGGATGATTTATGATAATTTCATGTGGAATACCTTTTCATGACTCTTAGAACGAAAATGAGAGTTTTATTCATTGAAAACACATTTTATGAGATGATTAAATACTATTTACGTGCAATAACGTTTAGAATATGATGTAAATGATAAGAACAAAATGGACTTATCAAACCTACAACCATTTCCGAAGCAATAAACGATGAACATTGGACCTTGGCTATGCAAGAGGAGCTAAACCAATTCAAACGGAATGACGTTTGGGAATTGGTGCCAAGACCCGGTGATCGTACGGTTATTGGTACGAAATGGGTGTTTCGTAACAAACTCGATGAAAATGGAATAATCACTAGAAACAAAGCTAGGCTCGTAGCTAAAGGCTACAATCAAGAAGAAGGCATTAATTTCGAAGAAACTTATGCACCTGTAGCACGCTTAGAAGCTATTCGTTTACTTCTTGCTTTTGCTTCGTCTATGGATTTTAAACTTTATCAAATGGATGTTAAGAGTGCCTTCCTTAATGGTTTTATTCAAGAGGAAGTGTATGTTGACCAGCCCCCGGGGTTTGAAGACTTTGAGTTTCCCGACCATGTCTTCAAACTCAAGAAAGCGCTCTACGGTCTTAAACAAGCACCCCGTGCTTGGTACGAACGTTTGAGTAAATTTCTTTTGGATAGTGGTTTCCAAAGGGGAAAGGTAGACACTACACTTTTTATCAAGAGTAAAAACAATAATATCCTTTTGGTTCAAGTTTATGTAGACGATATTATATTCGGTGCTACTAACGAGTCTTTGTGCAAGGAATTCTCAACTTTAATGACAAGC